TCTATCTATCTATCTATCTATCTATCTATCTATCTATCTATCTATCTATCTATCTATCTATCTATCTATCTATCTATCCATCTTTTTCGGAGGTTAAAAATAAACCCTAATTATTCGTATTTTACGACATTCTTGTTGCCGAGCCTGTGAGTTTATTCTTTTTTCCCCCAACATAGGACTCCGTAATCAATACGGGGATTTAATTCTTCCATCACGTCTGGTTAAATCCAAGCATGTGAACATTCTAGCATGGATTGAACCGGCACTAGCCATCCACAACCAAGATATTTATAAGAAACAGTTCTGCAAGAGAGTTTCCACATTCGTTGAGTAACGGCCGCACAGGCACTGCAATATTTGAAGTGCTATACAATGTAGTTTGCGTAACACGCCCAAACTCAACTATCTGTCTTAATGGTTCGGATGTCAAATAGAGTGGGTCCTTTTCATTCAATTTTTTTTAACAAGCATCATTTTACGCATAGCTGATTTCATATGTAGGCCTCGAGTTAGCACACCCAGTTCTATGAATGCTGTCACATGATAAAACACTCCCTAACAGTCCCATTAGAGATTCAAATAACAAAAGCTATAGCATCAATTATTTCGTCTTTAACTCTTTAGGTGTTTTAAGGTTAAGTGGTTAGTGACTACGTTTCACAGTTTGTAATGCATCCACATTCTTCTTTTCTACTTTTTGTTCGGTTTCATATGCTCGGGTAAGACCATCAGGTGGGTTGCCTCTATGAACTTCCATATCAGTAGCAGATCCTTTATGTTCCCCATAGCTTGCTCTGCACACTTTGCTCTTGAGGCCAGTTTTCTTTTCGAAGTTGTAGTCAGAGTCGGCAGGTCTGCAGAGTGCGCTCAGGCATTTGTGGTCCTGTCTGACAGGCACACTGTGGGGACTTTGCAGTCTTTATTTAATGTATTAGGGCCAGATATTCGAGGCATGCAGTAAAAAAAACAAATCGATCTTAAATAACAGCTTATAAAAAGAAGCCATTTATCGTGCTCTTTAGGTGGGAATGCAAAGGACAAGGGTGTTAAATGCAGGGTGTGCAGAGATTTGACTAATATGGGGGAGGGTGGGAACTGAGACACCCAATAATCTTTAAGTTCACTGTTCTCCTCCATTCTCTTCCAGGTTCCTCTAGAAAATTTCCAAGGAAGCTAAATGACCTTCCTTAACATGTATTAGCCGGATTCGTTTAAAGTATTCGGTTGTATAGTTTATTTCATTAAAAACACCAGTATGATATTTATTTGTCAATCTGCACATTTTTATTATCATCATTATCCGGACCATCATCATTATTATAACTGAGCGCTTCAACAAGGTGTATCCCTCACCCAACAGTACTCTTCGATCTTATATAATTTGTTTAGGATTAGAGCACAAAAGAATGCCTAGAATATCCTAGACAGCCAAAAGAGCAACTAATAAATAAACAGAGGGGGGAACCATTTGAGGCCGTTAAATATTATGAATTAATCAAGCAACAGAAAGTATTGTGAACGGCACTCATAGAAAGAAGTTTCTTCTATCTTTCTACTTCTTTCTATGAGTGCCGTTCACAATACTTTCTGTTACTTGATTAATTCAAAAGAGCAACTAAGAGGTTTCAAAAGAGGCGGGAGCCCGAAGACAACTTATCAACGACATCTGAAGGAGACAGTCACCATTTTTCGGCCATGTTAGGAGAAGAGGGAAAATAGAACATGTTCTGACCACAGGATAGATCTGTGGAAAGAGGGATAGAGGAAGACAACTTGTTGCATGGCATGGAGGTGTCAGCACACGAACTGATACATGCTGCAGAAGATCGCAGATTGTGGAGAGGCATGATCGCACACGCCATTCGGCACTGCACCGGATGACGATAATGATGATAATGTTGATGATGGTGATGATAGGATCGAGGTCACTGTCTCTTCTTTTTTCCCCCACTGATTCTTGGAGCTGAGGCTCCAGCAAGAGCTGCAGCTTGCAAAAATCCAAACTGATATAGTTCAACCGTTGCTTCGTTGTGCAGTAAAAAAGTATATTATCGGCCTGTAGCGGGCATTCTGTCGGCTCTGTGGCTGAGTCGATGCGAACGCTACGTAATGCCAGGAGGCCAGGTTCGATCCCAGCTGCGGGCCATGTGTCTTGCGTTGGTTTCGACAGTGGTTTCAAGAAAGCCGACCGTCCGGAAAGCAATGGCAAACTACTGGACGTAAATTTGCCTAGAAAAACCACACAACAGCCAGGGGCTGTTGGGGTTTGTTCTGCAAACGTCCTGTAAAGGATACGCAACTAACCAGCGGGAATTCTGGACTTCGAAGCCGAGGTAATTTTGAAAATATCAAGTGTCATGCGTATTCAAACCACGACATTCAGATCCGAAGGCAAGTGTCTAGCCACTGCATCGCGGCAGGCACCCTATTATTTACTGTGGTCACAGCATTTCCTTTTCCGAAACACATTATTGATGACACGTTTATTTGAAACGTCAAA